GTCAGGACAAGAGGACCTACATCAGAAAATCATAGAGAGCTTAGAGCACATGACTGGAGATTTCCATTGTTGGGGATTTGAGCAGTCAGGGGATCCCCTATGAGGCCCTCCATAAACAATCAGACATCACCCCTGTGACATGCTTAGTATTTAGGCACTTGCTGTTTGGAAGAAGTCAATAACCTAATAGGCATAGCCACAGAAGTTGCAGTGCTGGAAGAATTTTTTTTTGATCTTTAAGAGAATATACATATATATATATATACACATACATATACATATATATATTATTCATTTATTCACATGTGCATACATTGTTTGGGTCATTTCTCCCTCCTGCCCCCATCGTCACCCTCTCCCCCATCCCCCCTCCCTTCCCAGCAGAACCTGTTCTGCATTTTTCTCCAGTTCCGTTGAAGAGTAGAAATAAGCAATAATAAGAAAGACATAGAATTTTTGCTAGTTGAGATAAGGACGGCTATACAGAGAGATTCCTAGCATTGCTTTCATGTACAAATGTGTTACAACCCAGGTTGATTCATCTCTAACTGATCTTTGCACTGGTTCCTGATCCCCTTCTTGTGCTGACCTCTGTCAATAGCGCTGCAATAAACATGGGTGTGCAGGTGTTTTTGGAGTAACCTGTGTTGCATTCCTTTGGGTAGATCCCCAGGAGTGGGATTGCTGGATCATATGGCAGATCTGTTTAGATTTTTAAGAAGCCTCCAAATTTTTTTCCAGAGTGGTTGCACCAGCTTGCATTCCCACCAGCAGTGTACGAGGGTTCCTTTTTTCCCACATCCTCACCAACACATGTTGTTGGTGGTGTTTTTGATGATGGCTATTCTAACAGGGGTGAGATGGAATCTTAGTGTGGTTTTAATTTGTATTTCTTTTATGGCTAGCGATGATGAGCATTTTTTTCATGTGTATTTTGCCCATTTGAATTTCTTCTTTTGAGAAAGTTCTATTTAGTTCAGTTGCTCATTTCTTAATTGGTTCATTGATTTTGGGAAAGTTTAGTTTTTTAAGTTCCCTATATATTCTGGTTATCAGTCCTTTGTCTGATGGATAGCTGGCAAATATTTTCTCCCACTCTGTGGGTGGTATCTTCAGTTTAGAGACCATTTCTTTTGTTGTGCAGAAGCTTTTTAATTTTATGAAATCCCATTTGTCCATTCTTTCTCTTAGTTGCTGAGCTTCTGGGGTTCTATTGAGGAAGTCCTTGCCTATACCTATTAGTTCCAGAGTGTTTCCTGCTCCTTCCTGTACTAACTTCAAAGTTTCAGGTCTGATATTAAGGTTTTTGATCCATTTTGAGTTGATACTGGTACACGGTGATAGGCATGGATCTAGTTTCAGTTTCTCGCAGATGCAGTGCTGAAAGAATTTAAGCAGAGACCACTGGACAGTAAACTGTTATCCTGCTACCTGGGAAAAGTTGAAGAGAAAGACAAAATGTTTGAAATGTTGGAATGTTTCAAAAGCTCCTTTGTCTTCCAGTACCCTGGCCCTAGACATGGTCATTGCTAATGAGATGGGAAAACAAGATAAATGTTAACCGTATGGATTTGTTGTACTCAAAATCTGCTCAAAAGGCAGAAAAAGAAAAGAAAACCTTGACAAAGAATGATTGAAGACAGTAATTAGAACAAAAATAAAAGCATTTTATATTGTTAACCCATCAGTTCTGACTGTTCAAAGATCTGATTATCCTTTCAGTAGGGGTGGCTTTCAAATTTTAGGGGTATATTTTCTGTATTTAAAACCTAGTCCATCATAAAATGTGTGTTATTAAATACAGTATATACATTAATAGTCTGAGTCTATGAAAAGACTAAATTAGTGCATGAAGTGTTTTGCTTTTCAGAACATACAACTGTTTCGATATTGGGGTTGGGAGAATCTCCTATATCTACTCCTTATATATTTGAATTTCATTTACACTAAATATTAAGATAACCTGACTTATTTCTGAGGAATACACATCATTTAAGTAAAAAGAAACACTATATAATAAGTTTTCACATATAAGTTCCAAATATTTGAATATCCAAGTATTGATTTATTCTTATATCTATATAATTAAGCAGGGTAAATAAATTGTTTCTGATCACATAAATGTATAATTGTTGTTTTTAGCTGGTAATCCTTTTTACATTCATATGCCCACTTACATCTGGATGCTACAACACTGTGCATTTGTTACTTTTTTGGTCCATCAACATCATGTCATAGTAATTATTAGCTGGGCTTACGGTGAATGTGGTTCTACTTCCTTATGTAGAAACTTTTCATGTGCCCTATCACTCACAGTTAAGATCTGCTTATACCTGGGGTATTGTCTAGCCAATGTTTCTCCACTGTGCACATTTAGGACAAGGTCTGGGTGATCATCTCTGCCCCGAATCCCACCTCAATGTTAAAATATGGTTATAGATTCTAAATGATCAGAAATTTTTTGCGCTGTCTTTTTTTCAAGAACTCATTACTATTATCCTTGGCTTTTCATTATTCTATATTTTTATAATACTTTAATTTGTATATATACTATAACCCTTTGTTACAGAATATATTCTTTGAAGATACTAAGACTATATCAAATTCATCTTTTCATTCCATTGTAAAGTCAAAGAAACACTGTGGTTTTGTAAGAATTGAAGGGGAAATTTGAATAAGTCTTTTTTGATTTCTATTTCTCTCTACCAAATAATAAAAATTTTCCTACATATTGAATCTGTGGTTCCTTTCAGTCTTCATAGTAATATTTAGTTTCAGTGGTTTACATGTGTGTATAATACATGTACATATATGTATAAATAAGTGTTGTGTGTAGGCAAAATTCTTATATACTGGATTATATTGTGATACATAATGTATTAAACCAAGATACTTGAAATTATACATTTAGTAGTTCTGGGCATGTCTTGTTCTGAAGTGGTTTATTTTCATTTCTCATTTATTCATGCTAATAGAGGAGAAGGATGTTATAAATAATGCAAAAATCACTTAACAGCTGACTTGGTTATATATTGTATATTTTTCATCAGACTTAGTTTCTTAATTGTTTGTTCTATTTATTACCCAAATGAACTAACATCATGAGTACTTAACAAATGATGATTGGCAGAGATGGCTGGGAGCATTCTACAAAGTGAGAAATCCAATCTAGTAATAGAAACTTGCTATGGAAAATTCATGTATGGATGATAGATATTTATCCACACAAAGACACTGAAAATTCCATGATGCAAAAGAGATATGAAAATAAGTATCTGTTTTCATATAAATTTAATCAGATGTTTTACATCTAAAACTTATATCTCAAATTTCATAGATTTTGTGTTATATATGTAACAAAAAGTTTATACATGCCTTGATCAATGCAAAGTAAAGTGAAGATTTCTAAATGTTTTATTATAGCATTCTCTTGACATTATATATTTCAAAATTTCTTATATGTATAGTTGATTCAGATGTCAAAAAGAAAAAGTCATGAGTTTGCTGGGCATAGTGGTCCGTGCCTGTAGTCCCAGTGCTTGGGAGTCTCAGGAGAATGGCAAGTCCAAGGCCAGGTAGAGCAGGATAGTGAGACCCTGTCTCTAAATATGAAGGGCTGAGGATGTACCTTGCGAGGTAGAATGCTTGCCTAACGTGCTAGGGTTGGTTCCCAGCAATAGGAATGTAAATACATCAAACAGTTATGAGTAGGGAAGTGAGGTGTATAAATTGTGAATATGAAAGTGAATGCTTATAGTACAGTATAGGAGCAAGCTAGAGAAATTTCTTTTATATGAGTCATTTCTGTATGAAGCTATAAACTTCTTTTTAAACCAAAAGCTGTCATGGTTTCTACTAAAATAATAAAGATACCCATTTTAATTGATTCTTTTCATTGTTTAATAAAATTGCTTTGTTTGATTGCTGAAGAATTTGAATTGAGTTTTCATTACCCACTTATGAACAATTTATTCTAAGATCAAGACAGTACTGAGTTAATGAGTTTGAATTTATATTGAAACTTAACTGTCTTCACGAAGTAAATGGAAAAAAATCATAGCACTAACTAAGTATTCTTCATTAAAAACTATGTTGTAGAGATTTTACAATGAAGTTTTTAGTAGAGCTAAAGAATTAAATTGGAGTTTTATCAACTTTGCTGTTTCCATGCATATTATATGAAAATATGGTTTCTTCTTTTTTTGAGAAGTAAAGAGATCATAAACTGACAGAAATATTCCAGAAAATTTTAAGCAGATAGTTTGTATATTCAAAAGAATCTGCTAAGGAATAAATTAATGCTATTTAATTTGAAGACGTAACTAAGTTGAAATGGCTTATAAACACCTTCCAAGAAACATCTTGCTAAATTGTTTCAAGATCTAGTTAAATGTTATCATTGCCACCAGTATTAAAATGCTAATCCTCTCAAATAGTTTTTACTTCCATAGTGATACTGTCACCATGATAAATTTATATTTACTTTCATTTGAAAATAAATGATCTGTTTATTCACACCCACATTCAATATTTTGCTTTGACATTATGTTTTGTGTTCTCTGTACAATGTCCAATCAACTTGGGCATTTGGTGATTCCATGTTTAGAATCTGTGGCAGGATTAAGCTAGGCAATTTAAGTGGTGAGTAGGAAAACTTTGCAGATACAACCTTCAGTTTACCTCAGTTCTGAAGACCAACTATTTAGGTACATAATAGAAACGATTTAATATTAAGTTGGGTAGTCAAGCAGAGTTAGACTCTACAAGTAGGTTAAATGTTGCAGAAAAACTAGCTTTCAGAAATTTTAGATCCTATCTAAGAAATCAGAAAACAAAAAGAAAATAGAGTCTAGAGGAATTTTTCTTACTTTGGGTCCATTCCCTAGAAATCAGTTTGTAATCTCCAAATGTGATACACCTTTTAAAACCTTACTTCAAATTAGTCTTTGGAGGATTTGGAGTAATATTGTATTCAAATAATTTATATCCATTTCCTACAGGCAGCAGTGATGGTTCCTGGGATAAGGAAACACTTCCCTCTTCCCCATCCCAGGGATCTCGGGCTTCTGTTACCCATCCCCGCTTGCCTCGAGCGCATAGCCTTCCAGTTAGCCATCCTCTCAGCCATCTTCAGCACAGCCACCTTCTGCCAAATGGTATGATGGCATTTTTTAAGCACTAAAAATGGTAGTTTTGGAAGAATTTTTCTTTAATTAGCAGATAACAAAATAGGAGATAGTAAAGAGATTTACATTAGACAACTAGTCATAATGCATTAAACAAAACTGTAGTATTTTAAATAAGATTTTAGGTGGATCAGAGGAATCATACATAGAGCAAAGAATTGACTATTTGTACTAAACACAGGAAGAGTAGTGATAGGATATAAGGGCACCAAACTTGTTAGCTGTGGCCTAATTTCCCTGAGTGGCGACTGATTATTATTTCACAGAGGAAAAAATATTTTTCTTTGACTGCTATTATTAGAATATTTTTCACTGTTCAATTTTAATGGCATATCTGTTACTATTTTAGTAAGTGAGATGCACCATGTTTTATCATTTTACTGGGGACAGGGCAGTGATGATACATGTGTATTTCTTATAGGACTGGAACTTCCTTTTATGATGATGCCCCACCCTCTAATTCCTGTCAGCCTACCTCCAGCATCTGTCACCATGGCAATGAGCCAGATGAACCACCTCAGCACCATTGCAAACATGGCGGCAGCAGCTCAAGTTCAGAGTCCTCCATCCAGAGTTGAGACATCTGTTATCAAGGTAATGGTTTTCTCATGACATTTTTTTGTAATGTTCATCTGAACTTACCATCTCCCAATTCATTTTTCTCACCCCGTAAGTAAACCTCAACTCTAAAATCTAAATGATAGAAGATAGATTATGAGAAAAAACACATATAGCAGGTAGCCTCAGGATATACTATTCAGGCTGGCTAGAGTTATTTATCTTTATTTTTAAAATTAAATTAAATTAATTTATTTTTCATGGTATTGGGGTTTGAACTCAGTGCTTTGCTCTTGCAAGGCAAGAGCTCTACGGAATGACACCTCTAGTCCTAAGTGATTTTAAGTTCTCTTTTAAAAGACAGAACATAGGACTTTAAATGATACTGCACAATTTATGTGTTTTTTATCAGCACTGTCATGTGTAGGTATAGTGTATGTGTGTGTGCATTTCTCTGTGTGTGGTGTTGTAATCCTTTAGTTTTGGAGAACCAGACAACCATAGGGTGAAATTCTGCCATTTACCTTGACATGTAATTCAATTTTTTTCATTCTTTTAGCACTCAAAAGATGAATAATACAGTGTGGCTGTAGAAACTAAATGAAGTAATAAAATTTGAGTTTTTAAAAATTCAGAAATATGCTTTAAATAGAGAGCAAAAATTGGTATATAAACTTTTTTGTGCATGTGTATACACAATTCTTTTCTCTCACTGCTTCTCTTTCTCTGCTATGTGTACATATATGTGTATACTGTGCATATATGTATATGTATCTTTTCATTCATATTATTTTTAATGTGTATTTAAATTGAAATATTTTAATTGCCATTGTCAGGTTGGGTGAACAAGAAATAACAAAAATAATATTAAGAATAGATTATTTTTTTGTCAGTGGCTGGTAGCTCATGCCTCGAGAGGAAGAAATCTGGAGGATCATGATTTGAGGCCAGCCCAGGCAAAAAGCAAGACTCTATCTCAAAAATACCCAACACAGAAAAGAACTGGGAGTGTAGCTTTTGGTAGCATGCTTGCCTAGCAAGTTCAAGGCCCTATATTCAAACCCCTGTGCCACTCTCCTTCCCACCTCCCAAAAACCCTGTAGAGTCTCAATTTTTGAAGTAAGTAAAAGAAATTTCATACTTCTTGGTCTTCATTCGATATAATCATTTCTTGTTTTCCTGAAGATAATACACTTGCATTCAAGTTAGCCTCTGGAGCCTGCCTTATATGAAAAGCCCTGAATCTAGCCAGGTGTGTGGCACTTGGTTCTATTTCCAGCATCCGTAGACTAATGCAGGAAGATCTTAAGTTTAAGCCTGGTTTCTCGTAGTGAGATCTTGTTTCAATAAGAGAAAAGAATCCATTTTTGCTACTTATGTAGAATATTGATTAATATGCAATCAGGAATTTTTCTTACTCTGTAAACAAAGATGTGTGCCAGTCCCTTTCATAATTTTTTGAACTATGATTACCACAGGAAAAAGATCAAAACACATTATAGCATATGAGGATCACTCACTAAAAACACCACCTGAAAGACTGCCAGTGAGGACTGCATGGTTATCTGCCAAAGAACTGAAAAGGAAATTTTTTAAGCTCTTTTTTTAGTCTCAGTGACTTTAAGAGAATCTCTTTGTTACTAGATGATTTGTTAACCCAGGTATCACTGCATTATTCAGTTTATGATAATTTTGGTAATTATGACTGAGAGCTCATCATTTCTTTCACCTTACTTTTTGAAATTTCCTAGAAGATTTTAGGTGAAAAAAACAAAACAAAACAAAACCTTGTAGTGTTCTTGTCATTGTGGTTGATGACTATTTTAATGAAAATTTAGAAAGTATAATTTTTTAATTATATATAAAAGATGATTACTCATATTTTAAAAATATTTGATAATAATTAGGCTCAGTGTGGTGGATCACACTTGTAATCCCAGCTACTTGGGAAACGGAGGCAGGAGGAATGAGTTTCAAGACCAGCCTGGAGGAAAATGTCAGTTAGATTCTATCTCAAAGATAAGTTGGGCATGGTGGTCATTTCTGTAATCTTAGCCACAAGATTGCAGGATCATCCTTCAGGTCTGGCCTGAACAAAAATGGAAATCCCTATTTCAAAGGCACTAAAAGCAACAGGACTAGGGGAGTGGCTTAAGTGGTAGAAAATCTCACCAGGTTGTCATAATGATTAAATTGCTATTTATAAAATCAAATTATTTTTTTCAAGGACTTTTGGGATTTGCAGTGCATATATGCAAAGCAGATTTTAGATTTATGTTTTCCTCAGAGATAAAGTAGAATTCTTTTTGAGAAATTTGGCAACATTGGACTTACTCTAAATTGATGAATAAACATCTCTCCTTCCATTCCACATTACAGAGTTTTCTGAGAATAGAAAATATTACTCTTTTGTCAATTTTCTTTGCTGATGTTTGTATCTGTGTATGTGTCTCTGTGTGAGAAGAGACAGACAGAGACATTTTATGAAATTCTCAAAGAATCAAACACTAAAAATCCCACTTAAAATACAATTTACATTTCTAACTTCTAATAGGTTCCTTCAAAGCAGGTTCTTACAATTTTATGTCAGCAAATAGAACTTTAGTTGTACATGATTTAAGATGTGCAAGGAATATAAAAGTTGAAGCTAATTGTCAAAGTATATTAAAATGTTAGCACAGTATGACATCATATACCTCATAATTGTTTTTAGCTTATTCTTTGGACTAATATAAAAACTCTAGATGCATTTTAGAAATAACTTTTTCTCACAAAAATCTATTTTGATTGTTTTTTTATTTGGATTTGTAAAAACAGCTAATTATCTACCCTTGTGTTTGAAATTGACATTAAATATGAAAAGACAATGCAATAAGGAAAATAAAGTTCTACCACACAACCACCACTCAAGACAAGATAGTGCATTTGAATAACATCCATGTGTTTAAATCCCTGAGTTTATAATGTGGACAGTTCTAAGGAATTGAATCTTGAAGGCCAATACAGGTTTAAATAAAGGATAAATAAATGACAGAGAACAAGCATTTTTGTGCTTTTCCATAAAAACTGTATCTCAGGAGAATTAAATGATTCACGAGGGAGACCTCATAGTCATGGAATGTTTCTGGAAAATATTTGTATAAAGATGATAATATTGCCACATCATGATCCCCAGTGAGGTGGCTGACATTGTAACAGGCAACCCCAAAGGTACTCTATTATGTTGATGGGAGCTTACAACATCACCTGTGAGGTAGTCTTACTCCAAGACCAACTGAGTCAAGGCTCCAGATTGAACCAGGCAGGATGTTCAAGGGACAGAGAAATATAGACATGACCTGGACACGTCAAGGGCACTGCAGATGGATGAGAGGTTCGTACAGTTGTTGGCCTCCAAGAATATATACTGATCCAAGTCCAACCACATTGCTGCATTTGCCCTAGATCTAAAGTCTGCATGACAAGGGGAGAGAACATATGGGAGATATAGGAATAGGTAGAAAACCCAAAACATGAAAGTATTTGATGTCCCCACTGCAGGGGAACTAATACAGAAACCTTAAAGCGACAGAGGTCAACATGAGAAGGGGATCAGTAACCAGGGTAAAGATCAGTTAGAGATGAATCAACATGGGTCATAACATGTGTACATAAAATCAATGCTAGGAATATTTCTGTACAGCTATCCTTAACTCAACTAGCAAAAACAGTCTTTCTTCCTTATTATGCTTGTGTCTTTTCTTCAACAAAATTAGAGATAAAGGCACAACAGGTTCTGCCTGGAAGTGGGGGGGGGGAAATGATCCAAACAATGTATGTCCATGTGAATAAATGAATAATTAAAAAAAAAGAATATATACTGAGCCTCAATTTGAGAAGTTGACTGTAAATATTTGTCATGCATAGAGCAATGCCGAAGAATGGCAAAATAGATTGGTCATTTTAGAAATTACCTATTCTTTTTCTTCCTCCGCCTTTTTCCTTGACTGTGAGAAAGGAACCAGTCCTGCTTTTTTTTTTTTTCCCCGCAGAACTGGGATTTGAACTCGAAGTCTTGTGCTTAGTAGGCAGGTACTCTACCACTCGAACCACACCCCAGCCCTTTTTTGTTTTAGCTGTTTTTCAAATAGGTTCTCTTCCTTTTCACCAGGGCCATTCAGTCTTAGACCACAATCCTACTTACGTCTCCTGCATGACTGTGATTCTGTATAGGTATGCACTAGCATGCCTAGCTTTTTTCTTAAGCTGGAGTCTTGCTAACTTTTTGTCAGGGCTGAGATCCTTTAGACCTTCACTTCCCAAATATCTGGAATTACAGGTGTGTACCACCACACCTGGTCCCTACCTTTTAATTAAGATACTAATACTGAACTAGGAATGATGACACACATTTGTTATCCCAGCATTTAGAAGAAAGAGGTAGTACGGAGAGTTCCCAGTCTGGGCTACATAGAGAGACCCTGCTTCAAAAAGAAAGAAAGAAACAGAGAGAGAGGTAGGAAGGAAGGGAGGAAGGGAGTGAGGAAGCGAGGGAGGGAGGGAAGGAGAAAGAGAGAGAGAGAGAGAGAGAAAGAAAGAAAGAAAATTAGCTAGTACTTATTACTTATGGGGCTGAATTATAACCTGGAGCCAATGTTAAATTTTGCTGCTTAAATTAACTTTATGTTAAAAAATATGAAGTTAAAAGCCTGTCTGAATTACCATACAAATGTGGAAAAAAATAATGGCTTAGGATGATTGAATAAATTCAAAAGACAATGGATGAATAAAGTTAACTTGTTTAAGATTAGCCAGTTTCACATTTAATAAAATTGGATATTTGTTGAGTTTCATAATCAAAATAAATTTTTAAAATGTTGTAAATATTCCTTGGAGCCTCCGTTTTTGACTTTGAGTAATGGAGTCTTAAGATAGCAGTTGCCTGATCTTTGGCTACATGTAAGTGTGTTGACATAATTCATTATGTCTCCTGGAAGTACTTTCCAGGATTTTCCTGAATCCAGAATCCCAATACTATTTATCTTCTTTGCACATTT